CCCCAAAACCCCAAAACCCCAAAAAGAAGTTCTTAACAGATTAAAAGTGATAGTGAAAAGTCGATATGCAAATTAATTTTGAATTATTGTTAAAAGTATTCGTTCTCGACATACTGACTCGCCCGTCAAATATATCAATAAAACAGTTAATCTAAGAGTTGGAATTACTATCGTACATACTCTCATGCCTAAAGTCGATCAGCTACAGGTCATAACTCTGTCATTCTAGTATTTTTGATTCTTTACTAAGCGATGGTTGGGTTGTTCTTGTACTTGTCGTCCAAGTTTTATTTTCTACGAGTCATCTCTTTCAGCACGGTTTCTCGGGAAAGTATAATCTCCTGCTAAAACCACTTATTCCCCTTAATCTTGTCCAAAGTTATACGCTCAAAGTAATGGAAGCTGAAGAACTGCCAAACGAACTTCTTGAATTCATCTGATAGGTTGGCATTGAAGTTCTACTGGTTTTAGTAGGTCTTCAAAAGTGCCTCCCAGTAGCCCTTTTCGTCATTCTTATAAATAAGCGAGTACAATGGATCCGATTTCGTAGCCTTCTAATAAAAGGGCATGACTCCCGTTACCATAATAAACAAGATAACTCCCAGAGCAAATATATCTGTCGTGTTACCCTTGTATGGCTGGCCGAGTAGAATCTCAGGAGCCATATATCTTTCAGTTCCAACTTAAGAGTAAAAGACTCCTACGACTGAACCTTCTTAGATAGTTTTGGCAAGAGTCAAGTCGCAAATTTTGAGATTAAACATCCCATCGACTAAAATATTCTCAAGTTTCAAATCTCTGTGAATAATTTTCTGATCTAAATGCAAATATTCAACAGCTGACAGAATCTGTTAGAAGTAGAATCTAGAAAGTTCCTCTCCCATCCCTTCCTAGGTGGAAACGACGAAATCAAAAAGATCTCCGTTCTCAGCCAGTTCCAAAATTATATACTTATCAAACCCCTATTGATCTCTTTAATAGCTATTTTACTCATTTTCTTCACCACTTCCACTACTATTGCTTTTATTGCTTTTTCCGGATTCACCTGACTTGGGTCTATCTTCCTCATTCATCTTGGAGTGAACCATCTTGATGATGTGCGGATGATTCATGTTCCTCAAAAATGAAGCTTCTCGCTTGAACTCCATCTCAAAAGTTTGCAAGTGCAGATTTATCAATTGCTTTTTGTTCTTGTTTCCTTACTCTGCTATAACTTTCATAGCATATGTCTGATTCGATCTCTCATCTTCCACCTGATAAACTCTATAGATATAGTTTGTTTTAATTACAATTCAATTACTCTGTTAACAGACCTTCTCCTATCTACTTCACAATACGATATCTATTGCCAATGTGTTTACCCTTGTTTTTCTGCATAGAAATCTGCACTTTTAAATTAAATTTTTATAATTTTGCGAAATTTATCCACTCGATTGAATTTGAGATTGATCGGGGTTTTGGGGTTTTGGGG